TGATTTTTTGTGACGTGTTATTTTGATACATATTTTGAGAAAATGCTTTGAATTTTTGAAGAACTCAATAAAATACTCTGGGCAAATTGACTTCCCTTTTGTTATGTTAGCGATAAAAACATCTACTGAATTAAACTGCTGTAAAAATGCATCGGATTAATATTTTTTTTTATAATGATCTTAATAACCACATTTTTTTATTACAAAAACCATGCCACCATATAATCATGTATTTTTGATTGTTGTTGGTTTTCCCTGTTGGGAAGAGGTAAAATTTTGTCATTTTTACAGCTGATCATGTGTTGGCACCATTAACCCTTTAGATACACCTGTGCATAAAAAGCCTAGTTTCTGTGTTTATATGGAGCATAACAGCAAATTAGTGTGTGTGTGTCTGTGAGAGTGTGACACTTTATGCACTATCTTGATGTGCAAAATATGCATCTCAGCTCTCAGAAGTAAACAAAAACAAAGTCTGTGTATTTATGCACCAACAAATGTGGTTATAATGGAAGTCGATGGAGCAAAAACAGCCACCATCAGTAAATTACTGAGAAAAAAATGAAAATCTAACAATGCATTTATCCCAATGTTGTTATCAATCGTTCACATGTCCAAGACTGTGATAAAAAGTAATTGTATGTGTTTTTTTTTTTCACCAAATCAGTGACATCATTTGTGAACTTGGCCATTAAACAGTTAAAATCCTGTAATTAAAAAAAACATTTAGTAGTTTTGATCAGGACTGAGGTTGATTAACAGATTTATGCAAAAACAAAAAATGTAAATATTTGTCTGATGCATTTTTACAACAGTTTAATTCAGCGGATGTTTTCATTCCTAACAACAAAGGGTAGTCAATTTGAACAGTGTCCAGGGCTAACTGAAATGAAAACAAGATTTCTTTTTGTCAACTTGCTGAAGTAATTTTTTATTTTTTAATATTTTTTTTTTTTGTGTCAGTAAAGTGAAACAATTAAGAAATAAGTTCAGCTGAAATAACGTTTATTTAGCTTTTATTTATTTTTCAGTTAATATAACAATGGCTTAAATTGTCTGTAGTGTACATGTGTGAATGCAAGAGTGTATGGGTGTTTCCCAGTGTTGGGTTGTGGCTGAAAGGGCATCTGCTGCTTAAATCATATGCTGGATAAGTTGGCTGTCCATTCCGCTGCGGCGACCCCTTGTTTAGAAAGGGACTAAGCAGAAAAGAAGATGAATGAATGAATGACAATAATTTTAGCTTTAGTTATTAAACTTGATTTGGTTGAAATATTACTTGATTGATTTATATAGTTCTTATATCATCAGACTTTGAGATATTCTCCAATCTTAGGAAATCATCACCAATATTAAGTGCTGGAATTTAGATAAACCAGACTCTGTCTTGGAATTTTCCAGTGCTTTACTCCAGCTGTGAATGTAGAACTCGGGTTAAGCAAGGTGAAGATTTAGCTCAGTTTTTAGCAGCTCCTAAATTACTGTATACAGGCCATACTGATTTGGGTCCTTGTATCCTGTCAGGTTTGACCCACTTTATTAGATTTGGCCCAGTTGGGATGGGCTGCATGCTGGTTCTGCAGCAAACCGTCATCAGCAGAGGTGCATTGTGGGAAAGTGCTGCCATGGCATTTTATCATTTCTATACTTTGTTCAAGACCATCACTTTGACTCCCTCACATTTTGAAGGCATTGATTAATGCTCGTCTCAGCGGCTTGAGAAATGGTTTAATACTATTTCCTCCATGCACTTGTACCAGTTTAAAGATTGATTTTAGTGATTTACCTTTAGTTCTTACATAAAAGATAATGTCAAATTTGGATGTCTATTTATTGGTTACCACAATTCATCTTATTGACATCAATGCAACCCTGCATGACAATGTTTTGATAATAATATTAGTCTAATTAAAATAATGTTTTAAACACCATAAAATGTTGTATTATACCAAAACTTTTAGCCTCGCAGTGGTTTGCCATCAAATACATTGAAATCAATTGCCAAATAATGTTTATGTTGACAAGATATGGGTTTAAACAGGATAGTTTTTGGTCGAATAGTAACAGAAGGCTGTTGGATGATGTATCGTAATCTGCCCAGAATCAGCACAGCTGTGTGTGTATTCAGATTAAGAGAGATCAGTGTCCTTATTAGAGCTGTATAAACTGAAGAGCATATATTGCTACCTTTCCCTCTTCTCTTCCATGCTCTCGCTCTGTCTTTCTCTCGTGTTGTACTGTATGTTATGGCATTGGGTTTGCAGTACCAGCTGTCACATATTGGCACCAAGGGGTCGATAAGGTCATCCGAGTGTGAGACCATTCGAAACTAATAAAAATCTTTCTGGTTAATCCAATGATGTAGAGCTGAGCGATATGTCAAATAATTAATAATGAATTATTTTCTTTGTTGGATATCCATATATATTTTGATATAAGTTTTTAATGCTTCCACTTTTAAAAGAGTATCCCAACCATGACTGAAGGTGCATACTGCTGGTGGGAAAGTGAACTGTTGGCGGGAAAGTGAAACGATAATTTTCAGCGGCCGAAAATTTGGTGAATCTCTAATATCAACCCAATTATAGATTCCTGCATATTACTGATGTGTGATTGGCTCTTAGAATCAATATTGAGTTAAAATTTCCCAAGCTTATTATCATTATCGACATAAATTTTATCGCTATTTGATATGATATCGTTTATCAGCCCAGCCCTACAGTGACGTCTTTATAAATATAGGTTATCGCTTGTCGATATTTGTTTTCATTTGAGTTATGCAAAAATATGTATCATGATGCATTTTTCCACTCATGTCAATAATTTATTAAAATTAATTTAATTTAATATATTACTTTATTATAATATTTAATTTAATATCTTGCTGTTTGAGTTGCAAAATGATTACAGGTCAAACACCTCCATTGTTTTCCTAAACGTCATCATTTCTTGAATAGAAACAAGTTTTGTTAGTAGTGTTTTTTTTTTTTTTTCATGTCCAAGAGCAAATCTCTTCACAGATCTAATATACTAATTGATATAGATGTGCAATTTAAATATTATTAATTATAGAGGGAGAAAATAAATGTACTTTTTTACTTTCTTCCTCTTTTAGTAATTATTTAATTATATTATATTATATAATTTATTATTTAAGTTATTATTTAATATTAGTACTTACGGCTCTCTTGCACGGTACAAGCAAATGAAATGAATGGGTTTCATAGCACTTTCCGTGTCCGCTGTGAAAGCTGCTTTGATGCATAGTCTGTTTTCAGCTCATATTTTCAATTGTTTTTCACTGAATCTTTTTACATAGCTAATATACTAATAGATATAGGTATGTAATTTATTATTTTTAATTATAGAGGGAGAAAATAAACATATTTATTCATTTACTTTCCCTATAATTAATGATTGTTAGATGTAAGTGCACCTACACTTTTTCTGCGCAGCACAAGCAAATTAAATGAATGGGTTTCATAGCACAACACTTTCCGCATCCGTTGTGAAAGCTGCTTCAACACACAGCATGTTTTCGGCACATATTTTCAGTCCTTTTTCACTAAATCGCTTTCCAGATCTAATATACTAATAGATATGAGTTTGCAATTTATTATTAATAATTTTAGAGGGAGAAAATAAATGTATTTATTTATCTGCTTTCTTCCACTATCACTAATTATTGTAAGCTGTAAGTGTACCTACTCAGCTCTAGTTCAACACAAGCAAATTTAATGAATGGGTTTCATAGCACAACACTTTCCGCGTCAGCTTTGAAAGCTGCTTTGATGCATAACCTGTTTTCGGCTCATATTTTCAGTTGTTTTTCACTAAATTGCTTCACAGATCTAATATACGAATAGATATAAATGTGCAATTTATTGTTATTAATTATATAGAGATATAAAATAAGAATATTTATTTGTTTACTTCCTCTATAATTAATTATTGTAACCTGTAAGTGTACCTACACTTCTGCGCAGCACAAGTAAATGAAATGAATGGGTTTTATAGCACAACACTTTGCGCGTCCACTGTGAAAGCTGCTTTGATGCGTAGCCAGTTTTCTGCTCATGTTTTCACATGTTTTTCACTTTTCCGCCAATAATGGCAACTGAAAACCTACTGCATCCCTAGAAGAAATTGCACATTTATCAATATATTAAGCGATTTGCTCTTGGACATGAAGTAAACACTTTACTAACACAACTCAATTGTTTCAATAAAAAAAAAAAAAAACAATGATCTTTACATTCCTGAAAGAAAATCTAAACTCAAACCTAAAGATTTATCACTGAAGGAAGTGTAAAACGCATATTTTTGTTGAGCTTCATTACTTTCCATTGACATCATTGCATCTTTAGGCAAAGTGACTATTAGATTAAGTTAGTGGGCGGCACCTCAGCGACTGTAGCCACCGTTCTGAAAATCATCTATCTTCAGGAACTGATGAAGGCCTCTCCTTGCAGTGGGAGCCGTAACCCAGATACAGTATGTAATTTGCCCATACGTACGTGTCTGCGGCGCTCTATATTAAGGCCAAAAGTTCTTCTCATTATCAGAGTCCCTCATTACCTGTTTCTGTCATCTCATGCTCGCAGGGATTTGGATTTATACCTGATAATTACCTTCTATATAAAGCGAACCAGAAACGGCCCGAGCGTATACACCTGAAGCATGCCCCCAAAATGCCTCGACCCAGCGCTGGGGAAAAATATTGCACGCGTCAAAACATGAATGAATGCAAAGGGTCGCGGTTATGTACACTTAGGCATTTTATTTAGGTCGAATTGGTGGTAAGCGATGCATATAATGCGGTGCGTGTGAGTTCGAAAATCTCCTTTTCCAGGCTGTTTTCCATATGGCCATCCTTAATGGGCTCGTCATCTCTGCTAATGTATGCAAATTTCAACCTGGTTGCTAATGCAATTACTGAGCCTGCAGTTCCAAATGCGTGCAATTCAGTTATTGTGTGTTTTTTTCCCTCATTGTTTCAGATCGACGCCTTGAGTAAAAGAAGTAAAGAATCAGAGGCTGCTTTCCTCAGCGTGTACAAGAGATTAATCGATGTCCCAGGTATGTTTCTGCTCACACACACACACACACACACACACACACACACACACACACACACACACTCACTGCTGTAGTGTTTCACTGAGGCGAGAATACTGTAAACACATCAGTCATATTTATGAGACCTCCGTCTCTAGTGTCTAAAACACACACACACATATGCACGCGCAGGCCATCTTAATGACTTCTACGGCTTTAGAGACCCGCTCCGTTCCAAACCCCCCACACACGGAGAAACTTGGATTCTAATAAAATCCGCATTCACTGGCCCACAAACACCTTTTAATCTTCTGAATTGGCTCTCTAACGGTGAGATAATGGCCCCCTGATCCTCGGTTTTTATATGGTAATGTTCTGATGCGCTGATCTATAATAAGTTAATGGTGCCGCAAAGGTTCATGTGACATCTCGAAGCATCTTTAGCTCGGCCGCTCGATAGAGTTGTGCTCTAGAAAGAACAAACTTCACCTAGAGAGAGAGGCTGGGTAATGGATCAAGCTCCTGTTAGGCAAAACTGTGGACTGCAGAGAGAATGAGAGAGAGAGAAAACTTCTGGCGGAACTGAGTTAGCATTAGCTCAACTTGGGAAAACTTCAGACCACTTACAGTACACGCATGCTGCGTCCTTCTCATGATACGCCCTAAAAGTCTGTACAGTTTAGTGTGCAGCAGACTAGTAGACAAGTTTTGGTTTGCACTGCTTCGTTATAATTGCGTCTTTAATAAGACGTAATCATGTCAATCCTCTTGTCAGTTTGCGCCCTCCGTATTTCATTTTGTTTTATTCTGTACTGTTATGCAAAGACTAGCGATTCGTTTAAAGAAGTCTCTTGTAGCCAAGATATAACTGCTAGGTTACTTCTAAGGCTAGCATTTTTTATTTAATTTTACGTCATAACAATAAGTCTGAAATGTCTGTCTGTATTGTTCAAGCATTTGTATATCATTCAGGTTTAAGCTGTAAATGTTTTCACCAGGAGCATAATGAGCTTAGTAATTTTAAATATGCCTAATTAATGGATTATGATATATAAAAAAATTGACTTAACTGTCAGCTCACATTTAGACTTGACACTTTTGATTATACAGTATAGTGATATGTTCAGGTTTAGAAAACTTCAAACTTTATATAACAAATTATTTACTTATTTATTTATGTACTTGTTTACTTGATTTATATTTTGCCTTAATTGAGGATATTATTTTTTTCTTTTTTGTTTTGTTTATTATTTATTTTATTTGTATTTATTTTTATTTATTTATTCATTTTTTATTTATTTATTTATTCACTTTATATATATATTTTTTTATTTGAGTATATTATTTGTTTATTTACTTACTAATTTATTATTTATTTATTTGCCTGTTTTTATTTAATATTATATTTATTTTATATTATTTACTTTTATTATTATTTATTTACTTAGTTGCTTTATTTAAAAATCTGTTCAGTTATTTATTCTGTATTCATTATTTATTTATTTTATTTATTTATCTATTTTATGTATTTAATTGTATTTTCTTATTTGAGTATATAGTTTACTTTATTATTATTTGTTTATTTTTTATTTTTTTAGATTTTTGCCTTAATTCAGTGTATTAATTCTTTATTTACTTTATTTTTATTTTTTCATTATTTGAGTATATTCTTTGTTTGTTTATTTATTTATTCATTTTTTCTTCCTTGATTTATTGTTTTTCTTTTTTTTCTTTTTAATCTAGCCTCCATTTGGATAAATTAAAATATATGTTAGTAATCAATCCAGAAATCATGGACCGCATTGAGGACGGATAGTTTGTGATTTAGGATGCAACAACATACACTAAAACATACACACAAACACTGAAGCACACTTACACAAACAAACAAACACACATACCGACACAAACACAAAAAAGAACACAAACATAAACACATGAAAACACACATAGACACAAAAACACACACAAAAACAAACACAGACAAAAACACACAACCACAAAAAAGAACAGACAAACACGCACACATAAACACAAAAACCAACACATACACAAATATACATAGACATACAAACAAAACCCACGCATGAACACACACACACATAAATAGACACACAAAAAGACAAACACACACACACAAACACAAAAGTGAACACACTGACGCAAACAAACACTCACACAAACACAAAAAACACACACGCACCTACAGAGACAGCTCTAGCTATGTAGCTCCACCCACACCTGTTGATTGACAGGCAGGCAGACAGACAGTAATTGCCAGGGCCTGTTGCAGCAGGTTCTACTGTCTGCCTTCACCACTACTAAGTACATCCTGAAATTACCACAATACTGCAGTCTGGAGAATCCTGAGCCAACGGTGTGTCTGTGTGTACTTGTGTGTTTGACTTACCTATATTGTATGTGTGTGTTTGAGAGTAGCGTACACTGCGCATGTGTGCCGGAGTGGGACGTCCCGTCTGGGAATGTGTGTTTGTATCTGTGAAATCTGGAGCTTGTCCAGTCCTGTCTGTGCGTCTGCGAATGTGATCACAGCTTGACAAATTATCTCATGATAGTTACACCGGTACACTGTGTAGACCTGCATGTGTGTGAGCGCTGTGGTGTGTGTTAGCGGGAGTGTTCGGAAGTGTTTTTACTACTTTTAAACCAACATTGAGCTCGCTTCACACCTCTGAGCACAAGCGTACATTAAAATCGTGCTGGTAAAAATGAAAGTCGAGATTCTGAACTCTGATTGGCTGAGATCAAGCTCTGGTAAAGTGATCGATTAGGAGTTTTAACTTAGTTTATTTTGTTGTAAGTTAGTCTAGTGGTTTTTAATTTCTTTTTATTATATATACACAAACACATACAATATATAGATAGATAGATAGATAGATAGATAGATAGATAGATAGATAGATAGATAGATAGATAGATAGATAGATAGATAGATAGATAGATACACAATAAATAAAACTAAATAAAATTTACAAAAATAAAAATAAGTTAAAAGCTAAATAAAAAATATATAAAAACCTAAAATATGATATTTTAATTGATGATATTAAATTAATTATTAAATATTGGAATGTAAATAAATAATTCTACATCGGTTTAATATGATAGAATTGCATATATTATTATAAAAATAAATTGAAGTAAAAGTAGAACATTTTTGAAAATTTGAATAAAATGTAAATATATCTAAAATTAAAAGGTGTATAAAAATAAAAACAAACTAATTAAAATGACATACACAACAATAACATTATAATATAATCTTATAGTTAATACAATAAAACAAAAATAAAAACTTATAATAGGGCAATAATTATGTAATAAACAGCTGAATGTTACATCATTTCAATATTATATAATTGTATAAATTATTATAAAACTAGAAAATAAAAATAGAAACGGATCTAAAATAAAATGTGAATATATCTGAAATTAAAATTGAAAATTAAATAAAAATAATAGTCAAACTAATTTAAATGTTAAGCACAACATTATTTCTAAAACCAAAAATTAAAGATAAAAACTCTAAATAATATAGTGTAATGTAATATTGTAGTTCATAGGAAACAATATTTTTAAATAAAACATACCTAAAAAAATAAAAGTTTATATTATCTAGTGTATTAAACTGTAAAACTATTGGCTTTTGACTAAATTTTGATTTTGACGAGAAATTACATTTTATTTAATAAAGTAAATATAAAACTTTAAATATGATAATTATGTAATAAATACTACAATGTAAATAAATAATTTTACATCATTTATAATTATACAATTGTATAAATTATTATAAAATATATTAAGTAAAACTTGAGCCTTTTTTAGATTGAAACACATTTGAAATAAAATATAACTATATGTAAAATTAAAAGCGAAGTAATAAAACAAATTAAAAAGAAAAACACAACTATTGTTAAAAGCTAAAATTATAAATGAAAATGTAAAAAAAAACTCTTAGTAATATAATGTAATATCATAGTCAATTTAAAACATTAATTTTATTCAATAAAATTATATAAAAAAACATAAAATAATTATGTAATAAATTACTGTATATACTGTAAATAAAATTCGGTTTGAGGAAACCGATTGCAACAAACCATTTAAGTTCAAAAACTAATCCTAATGAGTGCTGTGAACTTAATCCATTTGAGTAAACGAAGCAATTTGAGCACAGTAAAACCCAATAACTGAAGAGAACTCAAACCAACTGAGTACTGTAAAACCCAGTAAGTTAAGGCAACTCAAACCCTTTGAGGAAACCGATTGCTACAAACTATTTGAGTTAAACTTATCTAAGTACTGTGAACTTACTCCATTTAAGTTGAAGTAATGAGGTATTTTATTAACTCATTCAACATCAAGTTCAAAACTCTTTTTAGATGAGTAGAATTAACTTTCAGTAAATGTTGAGTTAACTAAACTCATTTCATTTAATAAAGTTGACTGTTGGGTTTTACTGTGTATATGCTTTTCCATTATGTTATTTCAAAATACTTTAATAATATTTATTTATAGATTTCAAATGACAAAACAGTATTGGTGTCTCATGTCATCAAATACATAAATACAGCCATCTATCATACACTTGTTAATCGGCAAAATAAAAAAGTCTTTATACATTCTACATCTGATTCAACTACATATTGACAGAAGAAATGTTTCACAATATTTTAATATTATATATTGCATGAATTATTATAAATAATGTAATAACTAGAATTTTTTTTTTAATTGAAACAGATCTGAAACTAAATTTAAAAATATCTGAAAATAAAATTGAAAGCTATCAGAAATGAAAGACAACCTAATTAAAATGACAAACGGCAACTAAAATTACAAGAAAAAAATGCAAGATAAACACTTCTAAATAATTTTATAGTGTAATATAATATTATAGTTTATATTTCAGAACATTTAATATTGAAGTTTCATACTTTTATACTAAAACTAACAAAATATATTTATTAGCTGAAGCTGAAATAAAATATAAATGT